CGGGGTACGGTCCGGTATACCGGAACGTACCCTGGTCACTATTTGATATCATATATGGTTAGGGTTAGGATTAATTTTGGTTTAGGGTTATGCATGGTTAGGGTTAGTGAGTAGGCGTAGGCGACTCCCTAGACTCGTTAGTGGAGTAGGCGAGGTACGGTCCGGCATATTAGATAGTACCAGTGTACGTTCCAGCAGTACCCCGGGGGACATATAGACCCTCTCAGCGTTAGTGGTGGCAGCTGCGACTGCACTTTTTGGGAGTTTATTCCAGGCTTGCACCACTCTCTGGCTAAAAAAGTTTTGTCGCACCTGGAGTCTGGACCGTTGTTTATATAATTTCATGTTATTTCCTCTTAGTGATGTTGTTGAGGCTGGACAAAAGAAAGTGTTTGGGTTCAGTTTATATTTCCCTGTCATGATTTTGTATGATTCTATTAGGTGGCCTCTTAGTCTTCTGGTATGTAAAAATTGTAATCCTAAAAACTTCTGCCGGTCCTCGTACTTGACGTTTTTTAACCCATATACTAGTTTGGATCATAGGGTCTATGTCCCCCAGGGTACTGCCGGAACATACCTTGGTAACTATTTGATAGGGTTAGGGAGTAGGCGTAGGCGACTCCCTATACTCGCTAGTGGAGTAGGCGAGGTACGATCCGGCATATTAGATAGTACCAGGGTACGTTCCGGCAGTACCCTGGGGGACATATATAGACCCTCTCAGCACTAGTTTGGTGGCCCTTGTTTGTTTGAGTGTTTGCTATCGAACTAATCTGTGGCTATATGCCCGGCAGCCGGGCACGGTCTTCGATTTCCTAAATGCCCGGCAGTTCCTAACCCTAACACTAACCCTAACCCTAACCCTTAATTGTTTACTTGAGATAACGCTGAAAATTAAAAACTGCCGGGCATTTAGGAAATCGAAGACCATGCCCGGCAGCCGTCAGATATATGCCGGCTGCCGGGCATATAGCCACTCTGATCTAACTAACTGGTATGGTAAGAGCGTGAGACTTGCAGCTAGGGCCTGCATACCTCCCAAAGTGACGCGTCGTCGATCGACCAATCGGAGCGCTCGCAGCTCAGGCACTAAAGCTGATAAATATAAAGCTAAACCCTAACCCTAACCCTAATCCTAACCCTTACCAGTAACCATGCATCCACTCACGATAGCCAGCTTAAATAATGCAACCACAAAACATATCGCATCAGCTTTAGTGCCTAATTAAGCTGCGAGCGCTCCGATTGGTCGGTCGATGACGCGTCACTTTGGGAGGAGCTACGAGCGCTCTGATTGGTCGGTCGACGACGCGTCACTTTGGGATACGCGTCACTTATGCAGGCCCTAGCTGCGAGTGAGCGTGAGGGTCTGTTGTCACTACATCCTGTGTAGGCAGTGCCAGTAGTAGCTCTAGTACTATAGCCCGCGTACAGGCCTCAGCCTGGTAGGCCTACAGGCCTCAGCCTGGTACACTACAGGCCTGCGGCAACTGTACACGGGCTATAGTACTAGAGCTATGCCAGTAGTTACACTGCCAGTAGGGGACACCAACAAATAATGAAATGTAAGAATGTAACATATGCTAGTATAACTACTATAAGCTAGGTTAGCTCTAGAACTATATGGCCCTTGAGAAGGCCATATATATATATAGGGCTATATAGTTCTATGCTCCGCCACATATATATATATATATATATATATATAGGGCTATATAGTTCTAGAGCTAGAATAAGGTTAGCATAAGATATAAGTTAGGAATAGGATAGCATATAGTGCAGGGTTTCTTCTGAGGGAAAATTAGACAAAGGAGGTAATTGCCAGTTTGGGAAAAACGCGCATGATGGATTCGAAGGCGTGCCGTAGGCATGCATGTGGACGCTGCAGACAGATGCCGGTGGAGGGGGGGGGCATGGCAATCTAAATATTCCAGAAGCACGTGGTGGTGATCTATTTATTTTTGGGTTTGAAACACTATTTTGATAACGGCGGGTAAGTACAGGAATATTTTTCTTATTTTTTATTTTATTTTTTTTTTTTATTTAATTTTTTTTATATTTTTTTTTTTTTTATTTTTTTTTATTT